CCCCCATGGCGGGCGGGGGCCGCTCCCCTCACAAGGCGCCTTACGGGGACGTGGCACTCGCTTCTCCTCTCTCGCCCCCCGCCCGGCTCGGCAGCAGGGAACGCGGGGCATGCCGGGAGCCTCCGCCGCAGCTGCGCGCTCCCGCCACAGCGCCCCCTGGTGGCCGAGCGGACCCCGCCTCAGGCCTGAGGGAGAGGGCGTGGCGCGCCCGGAAGGAGCGTCACTGTCCTTCTGGCAGGATGACGCTATACAGTGGCCGGGGCAGGACAATCCGGCACTCGGGCACTCTCGTAGCTGCACCCCCTCGCGGCGGCCCCAAGGAAGTTGCTGCACCTGGTGAAGGGAGCTAGGGCTCAAAGCTGGTGGTGCCTGTGTGTTAATCTGCTCTGTTTAGTCTGCAAGGTGCAACCCCACTGTTGCCTGCTGACTAACAGAGCTAACTCCCTTTCTCCCGTCCACCCAGCCACCCCCTGCCACAGGCGGTGGGGTCAGCATTGCTGCAGGTCAAGAGCTAAGCCTGCCATGCCAAGCCACCCTGCACAGGAGCAAATGCCTTGGGGAGAGCCTAGGCTGTGATCCCCCCTCGCGCCCTCCCTGGCATCCACCCGCAATCCCAAACCCAGTGCACTGCTTCAAGGGCCCTACCAGCCTTTCCATCGGGACTGGTGCTGTAGTCCAGGCTGTAAACTAGGCTTAGTGTGTGCATGGTGGACACAAGCACATCCTGTTGGCTAGGGTTCAGCACTCTTCCTGCTTCAGGGTGCTACTGTGCGTGCTACTGTAGCGAAAATAGATACTTTTCTCTATGTTTCTTTGTTCCTTGTTTTAGTATTAACCCCTGCATTCTGTAACTTTCCACCCACATGGTACAGGATGGCCCACTACGTATGTCTTATAGATTGCTCAGGTTTTGGTTTGAAATGACCAATCAAAATGTAACACGTCAACTGAAAAAAATGCTAGCTCAATAAAAGCCACGTGCGCTCTTTGTTTAGGGTTGACACTGATCTGAGCAACAAGCTCCTCTGTCGGCCTGCTTGCAAGCAATAAAATAGAGTTGGATCCAGCCTGAAAGTGTGACTCTCTTCTAGAGGTGAATTGGACTAGCCTCCAGGGGATAGAATCAGCAATTTATGCAACACTACCATGGTCTGTGTGCAGCGTGCTACTATGGACCAAAGAGGAGATACGAGAAGGCCCATAACTGTAGCCTATGACGGGAGAGTCTTGAGTTTCCATATCCACTCCACGGATAATTTTGTTTTTTGTCCAATGATTCTTTAATATATAAACAGTCATAGGAACAGGACTTAGAATTGTAACTGTACCCTCTCATAAACCACTTAAAGCCACAGAATCAGTACTTTTTATGCCACTAGATTGCCATGTTACTATCTAACACAAGGACTAAAAAAAAGAAACCACAACTTGGAGACACAAATCTATTTTAAAATGAAGACAGCATGAAATGGTCCTGTCCTGAGCCTCTGACTTTTCTGAGCTAACCCTTTGAGGACAGTCACTGAAATATTTGTATAGATAATCACACCTTGTACTCCAAAATGTGTTGTTATATTTTCATATATTGTGAAATGATGTTTCATATATACATTTTTTATGTTTTTTATATTAACCAAATACAGTTAAAATTGTTATGTGAAAAAGCTACAGAATCACGCTTCTGTTTTGGACTCTTTCCTTCCGGCCCTAGGAATGTTGCACTCCTTTCTCCACAGGTTCAACAGAAAAGTAACAGTAAAATGTAACCAACCGACTACCGGAAATTTCCATTATCTGGAATGTACTGAATGCATTTTCAGTTAGAATAGAACTCAGGCTGTAATACCTATATGCAGACAAATAAGAAATTGATTATGTAGAAATTGTTCATTTATAATAAATGGTAAAATAGCATAAGATGGGAGAATGGGGACAGCTCGTCCCTGCCTTGCTTCTTCCCTAATCCTCCAGCTATATTACATCTTTAGACCGCATGATAAAAATGTGCACAAGTGAACCTTAAATGTTATACTTAACAATGGAAAAGGGCTGGCCAGTTGTTTGGAGGGGAATCAGGAAGCACCACGACACTCTGATATGCATGGGGCTGTCTGGGAGCTGTAGTTTAAGTAAAGGAAGTTATGTATTATCAGTATAGAATCACTTAGATGAAACATGCTGAACAAAAATGACATTTTGGATTAACCTATTTCAAGGCATGCATCACCTTGTACACTTAAACAAGATAATGGAGTAGATTATAATTTAGATGCATCATATGCAGTGACACAGCACAGAGAAATCTGCCTCTGTGTTTGTGCCTTGGTGATTACTTTGAGCACTGTGCATCTAAGATTGGAATCCAGTATTGCGCTGACCCTCTGGCACTATTTTGCTGTACGGACGATGTCATTATTAAGCTTTACATAGTGCTAGGCTTAGCTTTGGCAAGGGCAAGCCTCAAAGCTCCCTGTCTCTGAGATTGGCCTTTTAATTCCTGCACCCCTATTTTATACTGTCCCTCTCCAAATGAGTTTGGACTCCTGGTGGAGAGTTTATTCCTGTGGGGACTGATGTAAGCAGGAGTAATCTGCAGCAAAATAGAACTAGGATTTGAAAACAAGATGGCATTTATCAGTCAAGCAGAATACTTCATTTAAAGGTTCTTAGTTTAGTCTGATGAAACAAAAGTTATTTCAGTCTGTGTTGGTAGGACCTCCTGCTTCCTTTTCACCCTATGTTCCTGAGTCATTTCCTTCTGTGTTTCTGACATTCTGTGCATCCCCACGGCCCACTCAGCTCCTGTGGTCTTCAAAACCCATCAACCCTTTGGGTTTTTGTTATGTTCTGAGATTTTTCCACTCTCTGCTTCCTCAGGGAGTGGGGGAATCTTGCTTCCTCCAGCTTCAGCCAGCCTGCTGTCCTCAGGTGTTTCCACCTGAATACACAGCCATTGTCTCTCCAGGCTTCTCTATTCATACGTAAACAGTCCTTGATAGTGCATGCCTAGGACCAAGACAGGCTGCTCTGACCAACAGCCATGTCTGTGCTCAAGAGAAATTAACTCTTTGATGGCCAGTAGGTAGCAAGTGAGTAAACTGACTCACCCATATTTTACTAAAAGTATTACAAAAGTTCCTGTATTCTTCACAGATTACTCAAAATATTTTAGCCAAGGCACTATTTGGACTGGATATGTTTGAATGTGGTGTTCATAGCACTGCCAAAGCTAAAAAAAGTTGTAAGTGCTTGAGGGTAATCCTTATGCTTCAGTACCAGTAGCGACGTGTAGGGGGTGCATGGGGGTACACGTGCACCCCCTGAGAGCGCTGGTGCACTCCCTGACAGGCTGTGCTCCCTGCTTAGGCAATGCATGGGGGTGGGGGGGGAGGGTGCAGGCAGGAGCACCAGTGTCCCCCTGTGAGCTGCTGGCCAGGGAGTGGGAGCACCTGGATGAAGCGCTGCGGCCACTTCCAGGAGCAGCACAACTGCTTCCCGGTTGATGAGATTGGCCACAGGGGGACCCCCACCTCCAGTCCCTGACTGGTTGCTAGGGAGGCATGTGCCCCCCCTCACTAAGTTGCTCATGTTCAGTACTATGTCAGCAAGGGTCAGGAAGAAATTCACTCCCATGTTTGTTTATTTATTTTTCCATTTATAAAATGTATGTGTTACCTCTGACAGCAGTATAACACAAACATCTAGGTGCCTGCATGAGAAGGGGAGGGCTCACCTTTAACTAAAGCTTTCTGCATTAGCCATTGTTGCTGACAAAATATGGTATGAGATACTTCTCCTGGTCTGTTCTGGTGTGGTGGTTCCTATGTGACACCTTCCCTTATGTTGGGAGCTGAGCACCATCAATCCTGTGGCTTGCTTTCTGGCTTCTTCCTATCCTGAAGCAGGTGCTGGACAGATGCTGTCCTCTTGGTTGACTGATTCTCTGAAGACAACTTCTTGCTTTGTTGGTTCTGTGGCCATTAAGAAGTGGTTGCTGGATACCTGCTGTTGCACGCCCAGCAGGGACTAGCGATGCCCACTGCCTTCCTAGCTCAATAGCTTTTCTCTTTGTGCTTGTGCTCTCATCTGACTGGCTGTTCCTGCTACAATTATTATGATTATTTATATGATTCCAGAACCTTAGGCCCATTCCAGATCAATGTCCCTTGTCCTTACTACTTCTCACTGGTACTTTTCCACAGCAGTGTAACAAAGGTGTGGGGCAACTGAGGCACCAGTCCTGGGTAATGACCCTTGAGAAGGTGGGGTGAAGCACAAAATTCACAGCAGCTGCTTTGCTGGCCTGGGCACTGCCATGCCACCAGCAGAACAGCCACTGACATTGCTCATGTTCGGCTGCTGCTCAGGGTACTCAAGCACTCAGTTACACTCTGCTTTTCCAGACTCCCTCCTCTTTAGCTGTTTCTACCTGCTGCTCCCCTGTTCTGGGTAAGCTAGTCATGCACCTCTGTTCTGCAACTGAAGGATCAAGATTAATGGTCACCTCTATTTGGGCCCCCTCACAAACCATCAGATAATATAGTTGCTTTTCCTAAGCAGACTAGACTCCAAGTCCTGCATGAAGCCAAGTCCAAAGATACCTGCCTTGTACACAGAACCCTCAGAGAACTCAAGCTTTTGGCTTTTCAAGTTGTTTTAAACTTGTGCTCAGGTCAGTTCTTAACACACTTCCTTCCCCTGTTCTTGGTACCAGACTTGACCTTCCCTGTCAGGGAAACCACACATTTTCTGCTCTACTTCAAGATTTCCCAGGTAGGTCTTATCTGAGTGCAAGACCTGAGTGTAGACACAATATACATGTGTGCACTGGGACTCATGCCAGTGTAACTTAAAAGTGAGTTGTGCTACATTAGCGTGAATTGTGTCCACACTTTACACATTTGCATTGTATGGCTATACTGGGGCAGTCTTCCTAGTGCAAACAATGCTGCAAGCAATGGTGAGTTCCTTGGATGGCTGGAAGCCCAGTGATACCTCAAGTAGAAGGTGGCATGGGATGATGTCATAAAGGGTGAAGATGGTTAGCCAGAGGTTTGGAATACCTTTGGTATCCGGCCTGCCTGAGCATAGGATAGAGGGCTAACAAAATG